TCTCTCATCTTTTTAAGTGGGAGAACTTGCACAATTGGTGGCTGACTAAATACTTTTTTGCCCCACTGTATATGAATCTGGTAAAGCAAATAAAGCAGTAGCAGATGAAATCTCACCTAGAAGCTAGAAGCACAGTACATAATTAACCAGTATAGAATACTGAAATCTTTTTAACTCTTCTAAAGGACAGCAAAAGGTGTGGTCATTTGAAAAATAAGACCCCTCCAGAAAAAGCCATTACATTTACTAATCTCATAGCTGTCAAAAGAGCAGGGCCGCAGATGACATCATTGGCTGCAAGAGCAGTAGCTGAGGGAAGAGAGGAAGGGAAGATATGGTTGGGAGTGGGGCAATGGAATATGCTATGTTGGGATATCAATAGTAGTTGCATAGAGAAAAATGGAGAAGTAGGCAATTTTTTTCAACCAAAAGGCCTGTTCCTTTAAAAGTAAGCTATAGAGGATTGCATGCTTAAAGCCCCAGGCAGAGGTAAATAGGAAGGGTTACTGTTCTCTCTCTGTTTAGGAGACTTATGGAAAATGGATAGTCCTGGGGGCACAAAATGGTGCCCTCTCTGCTAAAGAAAAATATATAACCAAGGTCATAAGGCCGCATCATACCAAAAATTTAATATGACAGAAAGGAAAAATTATACATAATAGGGGAATAACCATATTTATATTTAATTTTAAAGATATTTACAAAATAAGTAAATTTTGGGTTTTTTGGCCTTTTGATATGTACCACTTCAGTCTCTGGTAGCCACTCAAAAGTCCAGTGTAACCCAGAAAAGGTTCCCCTGCATTATGGGAAGAAAATGTGAAAGCCAGCTATGCAAGAAATGTGCCATTTCGCAGTTGTAATTCAAACACCTTAAATTTTTTAAAAATGATCATTATTCATATTTTAACTGATCTGGAAATGCTGTATAATTTGAACTGCAGATTTCATTGTGTCACAGATGTGATTTTACAGTATCTTTTTCTCAGAAGATGACTTTAACCTTTTGTCATTTCAGATTATGAGAAAGGTGGCGTTTTACATGTGAAAGACTTTGAAAGAAAAGCCAAACAAGGTAAAATGAGTTTGACTTTATCTAGATTCCTTCCAGTTAGTTTACTACCAATTTGAAATCGTTCACTGTATAGGTTTTTATTTGGTTACCTTGTGTTTTCAGATTTTTAACCACTTAACTGTCATGTTTCCCATAGTGTGCCTAAACTTGAAATAGCCGTATAATTATTCATAAGAGATAAGACAGTTTAATGATCATACTGAATAAAAGAAGTCATTGAAAAAGTATGGTGAAATGAAAGAAAACCAGTTGAAAAGCACTGTAAATACAACTATCTAGTTGTCATCTTACAGGGTCACATTTCATCAGTTGTATGTGTTTCAATATTTACACATTACACATACATATCAACAGGAATAATTCCCTTTTTTATGTTAAGGAGTGGGGAGGAAATAATCTACTGTAGATAGTTTAGGTATGCAGTAATTGGCCATCAAGTAAGACTATGGAATTGGAAATAGTCTGTGGAATCACAGTTACTTAACTCTAGCCACATTCATTACTACATTTGCACAGAAATTTACTTCCGGGGGATGCCCCAACCCAGCATTTGAAATCCATTCCTGCACAAGAATAGAGGATATAGGAGAAGCAAGAAGCTCATTCCAGATCTTTCAGCCATGATTAGTGGTGAACCAGCATTAAGCAAAAGAGTTTCTGTGGCAGAAATGGTTATGTATTTTGTTTCAGTAGTTATTCTAATACTATTGAATATCTCAATTTTTCCTTTAGTGTGTGATAATCTGGATAACTATAGCTCTGCCAGCCCTTTTTTATGTATGGATCTCAGTTACATTACAGCTTTATTAAAAGAAGGCTTTGGATTTGGTGACAGCACAATTTTACAGGCAAGTAAAAACTGCAGGATCCAGCCTAGCATTTTATTTATTTTAGGAACATTGGTTGCAATATGGTTGTTGGACTATTTGTCAAAATAAACAGAAAGTATCCTGTTTTCATATCACTTTCAGTCAGCTAGAATATAAACTTAATAGACTTTATCCCTAACAGTCAAGACAGCTTTATTTCTTTTATGAAAATCTTAACAGTGAACAGTCATAATTCATTTTGATTATCTATCAATTCAGTAGATAATTCAATTCAAAATGGATTTGAATGCCATGGAAAATAAATTTATACTCCATCTGTCAGATGGACAAGCTTTTTTCTTTGAGTTCTGATTCAGAACAGATTTAACCTATAGTTGGGAACTTCAGATGAAGCAAAAATTACTGTAATTTGGTTTTTCTCAACCTGGCCTTCTCCAGGTAAGTCTGTCAGCCCCCACAATGATTGTGCTTCTTAGAAATGATAGGACTTGGGAATGTAAGAAGTGCCATGATGATCAGAAGACTCATCTAATCCCACTCTACCCCAGCATCTGCACACCAGGTGCCAGTAGGAAGTCTATAAACAAGACATGAAGCAATAGCATCTTCCACTCCTATTTCCTACTATGTGGTATTGAGGACTGCTATTTTAGTTACAGGATCATTTTCGAATAATTTATTATTTTTAATAAGGCTGTGTCGCATATTCTCTGTACCTTCCACATTTCTGAATAATGTTGTGGCCAAAACCTGGCTCACCTAAAGCAACCAAATCACTTTGAAGATACAACATAATTTTATTTGCATGCATGCAAGCAATAACATAGTATATACTGGACCTCCAGCAAAGCTTTGATACTTTGCTGAGTGGCAATGAACAAAAGCAGAACCAGCTTATATACCTTTGGTTCACTACATTGCAAAGGCAAGAAAAAGGCAGACACAGTGGAAATTACAGCATGACGCTGGAATATTTTAGATAAGCCCATCCATATGACCTTGTTATTATTTATCCCTTCCTACTAGGTCAGCATGCTAGCCATATTATCTTTGAGATATGGACAGTGAATAGAAAGAGTTTGATTTACTGGGCTACAGGTTCCTGAGTCTTCCCCCTGTCGCCACTCAGGGTCACTTCAGCTCGCTGTGAATGTCTGGCAATTCATATGTACTGGGGAGACATCCCATAGGTTTGGTAGTGAATGTAGTTTACATGTGTACCTTTTACCACCACAATAAAAAGCATTAATACAGCGTGCAAAGAGCTGTAGCTACACTTATGCAAGTACAAATATACAGTACTGTGTAAAAGTTTTAGGCAGGTGTGAAAAAATGCTGTAAAGTAAGAATGCTTTCAAAAATATATATTGTATTGTTTATGTTTATCAATTTAGAAAATGCAAAGTGAGCAAACAGAAGAGAAATCAAAAAGTACAAATATACAGTACTGTGTAAAAGTTTTAGGCAGGTGTGAAAAAATGCTGTAAAGTAAGAATGCTTTCAAAAATATATATTGTATTGTTTATGTTTATCAATTTAGAAAATGCAAAGTGAGCAAACAGAAGAGAAATCAAAATTTGGTGTGACCACCGTTTGCCTTCAAAACAGCATCAATTCTTCTAGGTACACTTGCACAGTTTTTGAAGGAACTAGGCAGGTAGGTTGTTCCAAACATCTTGGAGAACTAACCACAGATCTAAATATACAGCACTGTGTAAAAGTTTTAGGCAGGTGTGAAAAAATGCTGTAAAAATATACAGCACTGTGTAAAAGTTTTAGGCAGGTGTGAAAAAATGCTGTAAAAATATACAGCACTGTGTAAAAGTTTTAGGCAGGTGTGAAAAAATGCTGTAATTGTTCTTCTTTACGCTGAAGATAGTTCTTAATGACATTGGCTGTATGTTTGGGGTCGTTGTCCTGCAGAATGAATTTGGGGCCAATCACACGCCTCCCTGATGGTATGGCATGATGGATAAGTATCTGCCTGTATTTCTCAGCATTGAGAATACCATTGATCCTGACCACATCTCCAACTCCATTTGCAGAAATGCAGCCCCAAACGTGCAAGGAACCTCCACCATGCTTCACTGTTGCCTGCCACAATTCTTCCATGAAGACCACTTCTGGCCAGACTTCTCCAGACAGTAGATGGGTGTATCTGGGTCCCGCTGGTCTCCGCCAGTTCTTTGCTGATGGCATTGCTGGATACCTTCCAATGTTGAAGGGAAGTATGCATGATGTGTCTTTCATCTGCTGCATTAAATTTCCTTGGCCGACCACTGCATCTATGGTCCTCAGCGTTGCCCATTTCTTTGTGCTTCTTCAAAAGAGCTTGAACAGTACATCTTGAAGCCACAATTCTTCCATGAAGACCACTTCTGGCCAGACTTCTCCAGACAGTAGATGGGTGTATCTGGGTCCCGCTGGTTTCCGCCAGTTCTTTGCTGATGGCATTGCTGGATATCTTCCAATGTTGAAGGGAAGTATGCATGATGTGTCTTTCATCTGCTGCATTAAATTTCCTTGGCCAACCACTGCATCTATGGTCCTCAGCGTTGCCCATTTCTTTGTGCTTCTTCAAAAGAGCTTGAACAGTACATCTTGAAACCCCAGTCTGCTTTGA